ACATTTTTTCTTGCTTAAAATTACCATAAAAGGAAAATTTTTAACAAAACGGACGCGATCAGGAGAGAGTTTTTTTTGCAATTAATTATACTTTATAAATTATCAAAATATATTTACTATAATTATAAAACATCAATATAAACAACTTTATAAATAAAAAAAATTATTTTATTACATATATATTTTTTATTAAGAAAAACCCAAACAATAATTATATTACATATATAAACTATCAAAACAATAACAAAACAATAATCAAATTATTATTATTATTAAACAGTAACTATTGTATTTAAATAATAATTAAAAAAAATTATAAAATTATAAACTTATAAAATTATTTATTTTGTTAATTAAAAAAATCAATATTATTAAAAGAATATATAAAATTTATTATTATAAAAATAATATAAATAGTTTCTTTGAATTGATAAAAATTTTAAAAAAAATTTTTTTTTTATTATTGTTGAATCTTTTATTTTATAAGAATTTAATTTTTATATTTTTATTTACAGTATATACTACGTATTATACAGTTTTAATTGTTTAAATTTTATTCATATATAATATTCACTACTGATAAATATATGAATTAATTTTTTTTTATCAAAATAATAAAGCATTTTTTAAGAAAATTTTCTTTATATAATTAATATTTTATAAAATATTTTTTGACTTGTTAAGATAAACAGTCGGATGATCTAGCCGGGGACGAGGAAGCCCCGAACAAGCGTACAGATCTTTCAGGATGTTAAAGGTGTTATACAGTAGCTCTCGCTTTTACGCCTGGAGGTTAAAAATTATGATTCACTACTCAAATCTGTGATGAGTTAGTAAAAATTCAGTTTAAATGATCTCGCGTGTACAAGCATCTTATTTTTTGCTTAAAATGATTACAGAGCAAATAACCATAAATCATGTCAAATACATGTATCATATAGAAATTGATATAATCTATTGATCTTGAAATTTCCCATCGCTTCACATTGTAAACAAGAAAATCTTTGCATAATCGACCGAGTGATTCCGATTACAAGATGGGAAGTCGATAGTAATGTTATCAATTATGAACCGAATAATGTTTTTTATATACAATTGTAGGAGATACTTAAAGATAAGGTTGATAACTTAATATGTGGAGGGCAGACTTGTAAAAAAAATATTTTTTTCCGACAAATTAAAATTCTTTATTACGTAAAATTGAATTTCATCTTTACTATTGACCAGAGAAATCACAAATATAATTATGTAATATGTTTTAGATAGTTAAACTAGTTTTCATTGCTGCTTTTGAAGGTCCCGGAAGTTACCCTTAACGTTAAGCCCACTCGTTTACTGATTGTAAACATGATATGCCCATTCGAAGAAAAATGGACATGATCTTTAAATATCAGTCTGGTTTTTTCTTCAGCCTTATACGATTTGTTTTTATTCCATACTTGCGTCTTCCAAATGTATTTTAATTTATGGGCGCCGTCTACAACCAAAAGTTATTCATCTAAGAATGATTCCTCGGATCAACTAGATTCTCCTGATAGTCATATTACGCTTGCAAGTGAATTTCGTAAATTCAGAAAACCATTAAAAGGTCGAGAAATAGAAATTGAAGCACGAGGGTTTCCCGGAGCCCTTTCAAACCTAGAAATAACCAGAAAGGTTTCTCATAAAGAATGGATTAGTAGGCTCCGTGCTTTGGACAAACTTAATGAGCAAATTTCTGATGCTGAGAAGAACGACCGAACCGCCGTACTCATGGATGTTGAGGATTTGAAAGAACTGAGTAAGGACTTATATTTTACACCATTATCATTAATTTAGTTTCTAATGAATGTGTGATTTTGTTAAGGGGAGGAGTTTGAGTTCTTGCACAAAGGCGTTACCGAATTAGTAAGACTGACCGACGATGTGAAACAGATAGCGATTGCTAAAAAACAATTTGCGAGTGATAGAACGAAAGAATTGACGAAGGATGAAACATCTAAAATGTTAATCGATAGAAGATCAAGAATTTTCAGTTAAAGTTTGCAAACGTGATGTTGGCTAATGTTTTGCTTAATATTGAACGGTGAAGAAAAAAGTACAGTTAAAGAATTTAATTTATACAGACAGTACAAGTATATATACACAGTATGTATATGTTGGTTTACATTCTAGACTTTCATAAAATGCTAATTACAGTACAATATTTATGTTTACAAAATTTTTTGCTTTTTGGTATTTGGACTTCATTATCTTTCATCTGGAATAATACAAATGGAAATAATTGAAAGAAAATATTAACGCGATATTTGAAGGAAACCTACAGATATAAATTCGAATACTTATAATAATAATGCATACCTTAATTATTCACAACTCCGTTCGCGGCCTCGTATCTCTGCCTGGCCAACTTTTTCATTAGTTCATTGTCGAATTGAAGCTCAAGATAATCCTTATGCATAGGAACTAGATCGATCCACCATTTAACATCGGGTATCTGACTTCTTTGAGCTTTAATTGTACGATAAATTGTACGTCTTGATGGGCGCCATTTGGCGTTGCTGATAAATCTTGCCATTCTTTCTGTAAAATGTGTAAATGAGAAAGAGGAATATTAAAAATTCGTTCTTCAGTTCTTCAACATTTATGAAAATGACACGCAAAAAACGCCTCTATACCAGGATCCTCAGGATGTTTCGGCTTGTCAGAGAATAAGACGATACCCTTCCATTCACCTCGAATAACCATTGAAATCTTTTCTTTAGGCAAACACAGTCCTCCCCTTTGCAATGCTTTAAGCATCTGTGCAAAAAATTTGCGACCTCTGAATTTCACTTCCTCTAGTAAAAATCCTGCAGCTTGTTCTTCGCTTTCCAATCTCCAGAATATAATGCCAAGCGCGTCGTCCCTTTCAGCTGTGAAGGTTTTAACTATTTCTGAGGACCCATTGTTCAGGTTAGTTACCACATATTCGTTAAAATAGGTTTCTATTATGGTATCTGCCGTTTTTTCGGAAAATGGTTCATGGTATCTGACAGGTTCGGATACAACAGCGTCTCGACGTTCCGAATTTTGGCGATGCATGTATGATTGAAGCAATGTGGCCACCTGAACCTTGAGAGGATATTTATCAAAGAAAGAAGAGGCCAATGTAGTTTTATCCTCGGCAAAGTGAAATTCTGGACTTTCCAAACAAGATTCCAGGCTTGAATTGGTAGTAATAAAAGATTCAAATATCTTATTAAACCTTAGAATGGTTTCAGCAGTTCCTGCGAATATATCTTTAATCTTTTTGATAATGGAAGTTTCGGGAACTTGGAAAGTTGTGGAGTTATATAATTGAGTTTTGATTGTAGGTGCATGGAATTCTTTCGTTTTACTTTCAACATCCTGTTGACTTTCAATGTCGACTTCGTAATTTACTCCTATGTCTGCCAAGGCTTTTTGAATCGCGATTGAATAACGAACGTTTACACTTTTATCGGCATCCATTGTTGCCTTAATGTACTCTGCATAATCGTTTCTAAACTGATTAATTGGATCTTCGATGTATTCCCTTTTATCAATTCCTAAAACCTTTGAAACGTCCTTCATTTCCTCCTCAATTAAGGTGAACTTGTTTAACTTTCTACGTATTGTTTCCTCCATCAAGTATTCAATCAATCTGTTTTTCAACCAACTTTCTAAATCTTGCGGGGTAACATCACCGCACCTGAGTGCACATAGCAGGTGACCAAGGTAGACCAGATTATTGGGAACAACATCGATTGTACGATTCAATGGGGACTCCATGTACTTCTCGAATAATTGTTTATTTTCTTCTCGGAGATTTTTGGATTCTTTGTAGATTGCATTACAGGTATCCAGAATTAATTTGAACTGACGCCGACGGAACTCTGATGAGGTGTCTGAGAGAGCTTTAGCAAGGACCAAGAAAGGTACTGTCGTGACTTGGGAATATGCGTATCCAAACATGTCAAGGGTTGTTACATATCCCATTATCGGCTGATTAGAAAAACGTTATTAATGCTCTTTATAAGGTTCTCATTAAAAACACATGCGTTTTTAAATTTACCTTCATTTTCTCCCTTGCAATAGACCAATGTTTCTCATTTATGTACAAAGGAAGTATACCTTTAAATAATATAAGAATAATTATTATAAGTGTGCGATAGAGTCTCTGGTAATATATAATCTGACCAAAAAGGATCCTGTACCTGTAATATTTTCACGCGCCATACCCTGGATCGCACTTTGTCCGAAAAGGCTGAATTGAAACCCTCCATGCACATTTTCGGGTGCATTCTCTTCCAATGCAAACTTAACCGAATCCAGGAACGCACCAGAACTTAAAAAGGTTTGGTTAATTTTTTTGACATTAACTTGCGAAGGGTCTGCGATGGCTGCCTGTGATCTTGAAACATCGAGGGTCAAGCAAATACATTCACCCTCTTTCATTGCTTCAATGTAATTATCGGTAGAGATCATACAAGAGAAGGTCAGAAGATTTTCTTCTGTTTCTTCGCTCTCAAGTTTATCAAAATCCAGGGAATTGACGATCTTCTCGATCTTCTTTTCCACATCTTCCATCTTATCAATGTTTTTGATTGCGCGATCGTTAAGCCTGCCTTTTAATCTCTGTTTCGTGATATTTTTGTATGCTATATTGTTGAAATTTGCGATCTTTTCATTCGTCAAGGTACCTTTTAGCGCTCTATTATTAAAAGGAGATTGTCAAGACGATTGACCTTATGAGAGAACATTAGCAAAGAAATGCATCTTGACACTTACTCGGATAAAATGGTCTTAAAGCTGTTAATCGTAGATTTAACTGTCATACATTGTTGAATAATGTCTCTTCGCTTAACGGATCTAGTACGAAAGGCATTCTGCACAATGACATTCACCTTATCATCATATTTATTTGCCAATTCCAAAATCTCGTTAAACCTTTGCCTCTTGGTCTCTTGTTCACTATTATCGTTAATTACTTCATTCGACAGCCTTGTGACCTCAATTTCAATAAAGGGAATAACCATTAGCGCTGATCCTGGATCATCTTCGAGAATTCTTCGTGGCACAGGGAGTTCGCATTGTTCAATTTCCGAAGTATTTACTTCAGCCTCAATACTCTTTTTAACAATGATACTTTGCCCTTCAACTTTGGACGAGTCACCAGCAAGAGCTACCTTTCCAAATCCATTGCCATCAAAATTGACTGGGAGCGGATTTCGATCACCTATCTGGAGATAGAATGTTCTATCACCGGTTTCCAATAATTCAAAAGTGATCTTCATCGTTTCAGGAATGTCGCCTGATGATTTCACGTACTGAAAGTTTCCTTCCTTTTTAGCGCATTTTACCAACCACAAGAGGAGGGCTGTTATAAATTGTCGTCGCAAAAAGAATCATATTCTTATCAATATCGTTGATTGTGGAATAATATTAATAATAGATTATTTACCTGCGTCATGACCACTCGTAAACCCAATACTGTGAACTTCCGTATTAAGCGGGGAATTCATCAAAGCAGATGCTAAATTTCTTTTGTTACCCTCGAGGTCTGGTCCACCATTTTGACCATCTGTGAAGAAGATGATGGCCAAATTTTCGGACATGACTTTTTCCAAGTTCTCAATTATTGAAGAGAAGACACATCCGAAATCGGTGCCTTCAAATGGCGAATGGAGTTTAATTTTTTTAAAAAAAATGCGATCCAGAAGTTATGCGTCCAGATATTAAAAAAATGTACGCTACCTCCCCCAGATTTGACTGTATCAAAAAACGATCTAATCTTCCCATTTTCCCAAAGCATGTTCGGGTCTTCGGAGAATCTCTTCACTTCACACGCGTGATTAAAGAAAAAGCAGGTAACATCTTTTTCAGAAAGAATTTTTCTGTTAAAGAGTTCCCCCATTAATTGCAGGATCGCTTCCTTCGCTTGGATAATTGCAGAGCCTGACATCGAACCTATTAATTATGTCAATTGATAATCGATAAATGCTAGTTCACTTTTTAAAGGAAAAGAATCTCAAAAATAATAATCTTTACCCGAAATGTCGAGACAAACGAATAGAGAGAGTTCTCGAACTTTCCCTTCAATCCACTTCGTGAATGTATCTTGAGGTATCTTTACGGACAAGATACTACTATTTTCATCGATATCGTAGTATTCTGCCTTTGAATCATTATTAACGTTATTTTCGAAGTCCATTTTTAATATTACCAGATCAAAAACTCAGGTCGTTTATATGTAAACCAGAAGCGGTTATCCAACTACGGAATTAGAGTTTACCCAACTGCGGAATTCCAGGGTTTCCCACACTGCGGAGTTACAAGTTCAAGGGATTACTTCGGACTGCGGTATTAACTGCGGAATCATCATATCTTGAGAAATTATGGAGTTGTGCATATAATCAATCGGAGTATTTTTTATTAAGATCGGGAAATGATGTGACTCGTGGCAAATAAACGCCATACTAGGTAGTTATCAGCCAAATTTCTATTAAATGACAGTAAATCAAGACGGAAAATTATACCCAAAAATCTAGCAAATTCCAGAACAATGGATGACATCATTTTATACCATTATAAATATGACTCTCGCCGAGATTTTTTTCGTCAACTTTTATCTCTCGCTTCAATTGTAAAACAAAATGTCTCTTATCAATCGTATTCTCCCTTCTATTGCTCAAGATTTTAATAAAGCGTTTTCTCTACTTGAATTGGATCCTTTTCTCCGTGCACCCAGATTTCCTACCACAGTAACAAGTGGATATTTTCGTCCATCGGTCGATGTTAGTGAATCAGAGAAAAACTATGTCATCGAAGCCGAAGTTCCTGGCATGAAAAAAGAGGATCTGTCAGTTGAGTTTATTGATGACGGCACATTGGTCCTTAAAGGAAAAACCGAAAGAGTTAGGCAAGAAGGTGTTCTTCCGGAAGGTAGTGAAGGAATGAAAGTTGCCGGGGCAACTTCTGAAGGGGGTGCGGCTAAAGAAGGAACGACAACTGGTGAAACTTCAGTTGTCGAGACTGCAGGCGAAACCAAAGAACCAATGTATTGGTCCAGTGAAAGGATCCTGGGTAATTTTCAACGGTCGTTCCAATTTCCGGGTAAAGTTGATCCAAATAATGTCAAGGCGGTTTACAAAGATGGGATTCTATCAATTGTTGTACCTAAAGCCGAACGTCATGGTACAAAGATCAATATCGAATAGAAATTGAAAGTTAATTGTGGGGATATTTGTATATAGTATCACTATTAACCGTGGACAAATATTTTTGATATCTTGCATTACAACAATCAATCACGTGCATTTTCAGGACGTGTATAAATTTTGCAATCTCAAGTAATAGTGTCCTAAAAAAAAAAAAAGACTGCTTTATTGCAGTCAACTGATTAAATAACTAAATGTACTATGAATTTTATTATATAGTATTTGAATTGCGATGTGGAGAAATAAAAAAAATTCAATAAATGATTAGAATCCTTTGATAGCAATTACGGCGTGTACACGATAATTTAAAATGAGTTCGTCAACTTTTTCAAAGTGAGTCTATTTTCGTATTTTTAATAAACGTCTAATAAATGTTGTAGTTAATGAAACCATCTTGTGCCTTCTTCAAAAATGTAAATGTTAAATAAATAATAAAATAATAAAATATAATTTTAAATAATGGAGGTTTATTTTGTTTTTATCTATAAAATAATTGCTTATAGTTAAATATACAGTAAATGAATTTTTATTTATTGTATTAAAATTACTTCTCGTTTACTTATAAATTTTAAATAATCTTAACTTTAAAATTTATATTAAATTATTAAATAAAAAAAAATTTTTTTTTATAATTTAAAAACTTATATAAAAAGTTATATAATTAATAAGATTATTCTAATAAAAAACCATATATATCAAAATTATTAATTATAACAACAAATTTGAATGTTTTATTAAATATTAAAATTTTAAGATTAAAAATATTATTAAAAACATAAAAAAATAATAATTCAATAATAAATTATTAAAACTTTATTATATTTTTAAAAAATAATTTTTAAATAAATTTGTATTTAAAATCCAAAAAATTATTTAATATTAGTTGATAAAAAATTATTTAATATTAGTTGATAAAAAATTATTTAATATTAGTTGATAAAAAATTATTTAATATTAGTTGATAA